GAAGCCTCTTGGCATAGACATGTCACCGAGGGCTAAGGCATTGGCTAGCACTGGTGAGAAGAAGAGATGGGCAAATACTAGGCTGGAGGAATGCCACAATACAAATGTCAGGTCTGATGGCTTAACTAAACTAAGAACAAAATGGCAAAAGGAAAATAAATATAATAGCCACACCATCCTTGTAGGAGAGCCATGTGGCAGCAGTCTCATGTGGGTGTTGTTGCCTTAGTTCATATCCTGATGACTGTGTCACCCCGGTACTCTTACCTACAACAGTAGCTACCCTATCCTGGAGTTTTGGTTCTTGCAGAGTAATCATTGAGCCAGATAACCAGATTTTGGGGCCTTGGGGTATAAGCAAGTGTCCTTACATGAAAGCAAATGAGGGTAGGACAATTGCTCCAACACCTACTGCAGCTGGTCCATTCTTAAAGCATATGTCCTCAGCTAATTTAATTAATACAGGTCTGTATTCAGAACATACACATTTAAGCATTTATTTAGCCCCTTTTAGGAATGTATTCTCTTTATTTTAAAATTTTTATTTCAGGTCTCATTTATAGTGTAGTTTGGTCAGAAACTCAATTATGTAGCACAGAATGTTGTCTAGTGTATGACCATCTTCCTGCTCTGCCTCCTCTGGGATTATAGGAATGGCCCACTATGCTTATTGAATATGTACCAATGCTTCTGTGTCTTCCACACTTATATACCCATTGCAAATGGGAGCTACATGTGTACTGTTTGCCAACTGGGCTGGATCTCATTATGGAGCCAAGGCTGGCCTCCAACTCCTGATCCTTTTGCCTCTGCCTCCCAAGCTCCTGGCTAAGAGACGATGATACAAACATTCCTGTCTTTAAAACTTACCGAGGCATCTAGGTTCTAAAGCAGAAAATTGAGAACATGGCTCTTCCAATGTTGGGAAAGGGCTCACTACTAGATTCTTTCTTTGGTGGCTAAATGATACCTTTCCAAATGGGAATTGGGGTATTCTGACTAATGATGAAAAGCCTGCCCTTACTACACTTGAATTGAGCATTCTTCTTTAAATTTTGATGAAAGATTCCAAAAATTGATCTCCAGGAGTTCCACACAATGCACTCCCAGATTTTAGCCTTGTAGGTTCTTGGCACCAACCGATCCCCTCCTCATGATCAGATCCTAGCAAAGAGACCAAGTATGTCTCTCTCCCTCCAGCTTGAGAACCATAACTAGTTGCCTTGTAGCAGAATTGTGCCTGTGAACCTGTAATAGTGGCCACACCCCTTTGGGCATGACTTCACGTGTGGACAAAAACCAAAACAGCAAAGCATGAGGCGTGGTCTCTCTCGCTCTCTCACTCTTGGGTCGCAAATTGGATTGGAAGGGCAGAGAAAATACTGTGGCAGTTCTTTATTGTTCTGTGTTATTTGCTCCCCAATGAAACACCCATTTATCATTTATCTTGGATCTAGTGAACTCTTTACACCCATTCCTTCATTGCCTCCTATCACTGACTGCATCAATGGGATATCCCACGGCCCATTTGCCAATGTTGGCTCCTCAGGCAGTGTTCCAGCTTCAGACCTTGTGGGGACAACTACCTTTTGAAATTAGAGTTCATGTTGGAAGTTAAATTGAAATAATAATGCCTTCTCCATTCATCTTCCCTCTCTTGAGGCCCAAAGACCCAAGGAGGCCTTCACTGTGGAATCGCAGTTTCTGTCTTTGAGACATGTCCTAGATACATGAACTCTGCATAAAAATGTCCTGTAATCAGCCTGCAGTATTAGGCAAACAAATCTCATAATGTATCTGTGCCCAACTGCAAAGTGCCATGGAGCATACACAAGGACCACCACATGCCCACAACAGTATCAAAGTAAACATAATCCTTTTCGTGACTGGGTGCTACCAGTCAATCCGAGACTGTTAGCATTTAAGCAAACTCCCCCAAGGTCACACACAGAGTTGAGAATTCACCAAAGATGTGGAAAGTCAATATCAGTAGTGAGGGCCATCAGAACATAAAGGAGACTCAAGACTGACTATGCTTAAGGTGAGCTGTGGGAAGTTAATGTCCAGTCCTGGGTCACAAGGACACCACCAGATCAAGCCTTGTTAACAAGAGTAATAAGGAAGGTTATGATTGTATTGCATCTGTTCAGCCCTATTTGGTAACTTACCAGCGTGTCGTCCCCGTGTGCTACATGAATGCCTTGTACTAGCAGGAAAGAAGATCCAGTCTTATACTTACATTGACTCCCGCGAGATGTCTACATAGGAAAGATCTTCCATCTCACTTATGGACATTTACTGTATTTGCATTTATCTGTGTATGTATACTTTCGCTGGTACAGGCTATTAAATGTAGAGCCTGGCACACAGTGGGCATATTCTACCATATTTCCAGCCGTATCTTTTGACATTTCCTTTTCACACAATGTCTTCTGACCCTACATAGGTGTACTTGAACTCAGTGTGTAGCTCTGCCTTAGAGCCGGGGATACTCCTGCCTCAGCCTTCCAGCTAGCTGGCATTAAAGGCTACCACCAGCAGGCTTGTGTTTTTATTTCTATTTGAAGACAAAGATGTGTGCATGTTTCCTCTTCCACAAGGAGAAATGGACAGAACTGTCTTTCTCCAGAGGGACATCAATTATCTGCACCATCTGTTTAGCTTCATTTAGTCTGTATGCTCCATGGTGTCTTGAAAAATCAACAACTAAATTCTCTGGCTGTAACAGGAAATCTCAGTGCATAACAATACAGTGGCCACACCTGCAGTAAAGGCAAGACAGTCAGGATTGTGACAGTGTTACACCTCTCACAAAGGTCAAGATAGTATACAATGTTTATATACCTGGTCCCTATCAAACATTCTTACTTTAAGAAATAATAAAAAAAAAGCATACTGAGAGCTCCATCTTGTGAAGAATGCTCACTTTCCTCTCTCTAGTCTTGGTTCATAAGAGTAACCCTTTATTTTTTCAGAAACAATCCTGGCCAGAATATCCAACAATTGGTACCAAGAAGCACAGGATAAGATAACAGTTGTTAATCAGAGTCAACTCCAAAATCTGCCTTACTTTGTGGGGCACAAGTGATGTTATCACACAGACCTCACACGATACGGGAAAAACAATGATGCTGTCAAGAACGGCTCAAGAGTTCAGAAAATCCTTCAACAATTAAGGTTTGATGGAGACCTCAAAGTGATCTGTGCTTCAGTCTGTTCTGTGTTGTAGTCAAGTACACAGAAAAGGATTCCCCAGGGGAAACGATCTAATTATTATGCTAATCTGCTGTAGGGAACATGTGCAAGCAAGAAGGAAGGACAGCATGAGGGTTGGCATATCATGCAGGTGACTGTCACTCTTCAAAGGTCAAAAATCACAAAGTGAAACCAGTACCACCTGCCAGTGGCCCAATGGAGGAACTTCACAATTATGGAAGTGATGACATCCAGTGAGGATACATAAGCACCTCCTCTACTCAGGAGGACTTGCCCAGTGTTCATTCAATGGGTACAAACATGGCTACCAGACAGTGTGTACCGCAAATTCCTTCTTGTATAAAGTGAGCCATGATATCCCTCTTGTACTTGGCCATAAATAACAAGGGCAACATGGCTACAGATGTTGAAAGGCTCCATGTACCAAGTAGTAGTTGTGTATGAAAAACTATGAGGAGAACATGGGTTCAGGTCACAGTTCTTGAATAGGAGATGGAGGGAGTGAACCTGGGAAGAGAGGGAGGGACAGAGTGAAAGAGAAAGAAAGGGTGAAGGACAGGGAGGGAGCCAGCATGTGAAAGAGGCAGGTGAACGACAGAGAAGCAGGAAGGTGGGAGGAAGAGAGAGACTGTTCCTCCATCTTTCTGGTCCAATGACTATGTCCATCACTGCATCACTAGGCTTAAATACTATCTAGGAGAACAATGGAATGGGTGGGCATGTGCAGCTGAAGGTTCTAGAATCAACCTGGCCTTGCCTAAAACAACCAAATGCATTAGAAGAATGGGGGCTTCTACTAAGCTGAAGAGACCTGTTTTTCAACTCTGCTGTTCTATCTCTCCAGTTGTGTGCCTTCAGCTGCTCATGGACTCCTGTCACTTTCTTCAGGATCTGATAGGGCAGGAGGATGACTTACAGCCAGTTTCCTTTCCTGCATGTGTCTTGTGAAGCTCACCCCACTTTTCTCAAGAAGTGTTGGGAGGAACTCACTGTGGTTGTAGCCAAGGGTAGACTGATTGTTCCTAGAGGTCAGTTAGGCCGGTATCATCCTAGGCAAAACATTCTTTCCTTGTTCTTTGTATTTGATTCTTCAAAAAAAAAAAAGGAACCCTTCTCTCGCCTGCTGGTCTTAGAAAAATGCTTGTACACTGGAAGTGGGGCACTTGTGGAAGGTGAGGTTACATCTCTCCAAAAAAAAGATTGGCATCTGTTAGGACTAAGACTGGTGATAAACAGTTAAATAACTTGCAAAAGACATTAAGGGGAAGACACAATATATTTATTGTGTCAAATAAGATTCAGACTGTTGAAGCAGCTGGAGATACAGTCATTTCAGTTCAGGCTTGGTCATATGGTAAGAGCCTGACTTAAAAAAAAAATAAAGTGTTAAGGAAGGCCAGACATGATAGTCCAAGCAGTCAATCCGAGGATAAAGGAGGCAGAGGCAAGCTCACCTCCTTGTGTTCTATGCCAGCCTGGACTACATAGAGAATTCTGAGCTAGCCCTGGTCAAATGTGAAGAGAGGTGGGGAGTGAGAGAGAGACAGAGAGGAGGAGGGAGGGAGGGAGGGAGGGAGGCAGGTTGTGTTTCAAGACCCGTGACTTCAAGGGACTGTACTTGGGTTGTCAGGTTAGGTTAAAATAACCTTATTCCCCAAGATATCTCACCTGTATGCCTGAGTGGTTCCTACACATGGTAAGCCATCTGCAATAGATTTCACCCTGAAGTATTCTGTTTAGGTGTTCCTGAATTGTGTTGATTGAATGCACTTTCAGACTTCAGATACCTTCTCCTCTTTATTATATGATTCTTTGCTTTACACTTCCAGAGAAAATGTTAACCAAGTATCTGTTCATTGTCAACTGCCAAGAAGAATAACATCTTCTCCTAAAGACCTGCTTCTCCAACTTTGGGAACAGTAGGCATTACAAAATGTACTTTGCATGGCACATATTCCCTTTACAGAGACAGCTTGCTAGCAAACATGTCAAGGCTCTTCCTGTTGAAGGTTAAAACAAGTTGTAGCCCTAACAGCTCCAGGGAAGATGGTATAGTGACTTCTGGTTCCTTGGTCACCACTCTGATCACTGAGAAGGTACAGGCATTAATGACGTGAGGTTGGGTTGGCTGCTCCATATGACTAACAACAGAAACTAGCCATGAATAAATGGCATTGCCTGTTACATCTAATGGGGCCTCACTTCACTCATCACAAGCTGCATTAATTATGCTGATAGTTTTACCATTACTGGGGTATTCCACATGCTAGGCAGGCTCTGTTTCACTGGCCCACCCTGCCCCAAACAACTGTATTGTTTTGATGCTGTGAGATGCCCTCTTCCCCATGAAAGGTTTCTTATACAATGAATAGTCCTCCCACGCAGCTTTACAACACCTCACAAGTGAGATATGGTGTCTAGTAGCTTAGGCTTTATCAACATTAGGCATAACAAATGGAACTGTAAGGAATAACACATAAGCTGTTCATATCTAGACTTTACACTTAAGCCACAGCATTGCTATGCACTTCACGGACAGAATTACCAGTGCATTCCACAGGACTGAAGGGCACACATGGGGACATTAGGACATTAAAGGAAGAAGACTTCCACCTTGGAATGCAAAGAGTGCAGTTACTACATACAGGCTTCACTTTAACAACTACACAGGCAGACATTGTCCCCAGCATAGGTAGAGAGCGGTATCTGTGCAGCATCTCCCTTGTGAGGAGCAGCCATGCCGTTCACTTCACAATGACAACAAGTCACATTCTCCTCTACCCCCATGTTCATTACCAACTTGGTGTTGGTTTGTTTATTCATATTGTTTGTTCTTTCATATTTTAATGAAAACCACAAGCTTTCCCAGGCCACTTAGCCTTTAAGAAGAGTCACATTTTAAAACCACATTTATCATGGAGACCCTGAAAGAGGGACTTAGAACCCAAGCAGAATTGGACAAATAAGCCATTCAGAATCAGGAGAAGTCCTCCTGTTGCTACTTAACATGAATTGGACACCAGACTTGACAGAAAACATATCAAAGCATCATGAAAGACCCTTGGAATTCAAAGTGGTGGAGCAAAACAGCGAAAGAGTACAAATGCCCATTGACCTCTTACTGAAAATACAGACAAAAGCCAAGACTGCTTTGTGTGAATGCCATTACTTTTTATAGACAAGGGATGAGGAGCGCCTAGGCCATCATATCGGAGATTGTCCTCTCTGCTGTAGGCTGTAGAAATGGGCCTCCTTCAATATCTGGTTAATATGGGAGTAAGGACCTTGATCTTGGCACACTGCATAGTCCTCCTGGGAGAACTCGGGGATATTGGAGTTAAGTTCAGCCATGTTCTGGTTTAAGCTGTTCTCTGGCATATTTTCTCGACTGATGTTATTGATGCTGATGTGGCTCCTTGCATTACCACTGCTTGACGACTGGAAGGAGAAAGACAGAAGGAGGATGGCTATTATGATACTGTCATCATTTCCTATTCAGCTTGAAGAATACAGGCATCACACTTAACAAAAGGTTTCACTGTCCATAAAGTGCAATCACTTGGATAGCTCATTCCCTACTTGCAGCAGCTCAAGCTGAGTTAATAGCACCCATTTGGCAGACCACGGAAGAGATGTGTGACGGACACAAAGGCCACTCTCTAGGAATGTCTGGGAGAGGATTCAAGCACAGGCTTTCTTACTCCAAATCCCTCCTCATATCCTCTGGCCCCAGTGGCACCATGCATTCCAATTATCTGCAGCAGGGAAGTAAGCTCCCAACCTCCAGGAGAAAGCAGCACTCAATGTTGCAGAATGTGTTCAGGATCAGGACTAAAACAAATAAGATGGAATGCAGGGCCATGTCCCAATGTGACAAAGAAATGGTGGGGAAAGCTCCCCCTTTACACATATATACACACGTGCATACACACAAACTACAGGGTCTTTCCATACCAATCCCCTACAGTAAACATACATGCTAGTAATATAACAATTCAAGGCTCTATTCAATATCTCCAAATGCCTTTGATATGTTTTAATGACAGATGTAGGTCAACACTCAGCACTTCTGATGACTAACACCCCTGGTCTCCTATTTGTGGGTTTACTATAGTTTGCATATGGTGAGTTTGCTCTTGATATTGTCTGTCCTGGGAATAACTTCACTCTTTCATATTGGTGATGTCATGTGGTGATATTACATTATACCTATAAAGAGCTATGTTCTGGAATTCTGTAGACTAGGGAGGAAATTCAGTGGTAGAGTGCTTTCCTCACATGCTTGGGACCTTGGGTTACATCTCCTTGGGTACAGGACACACACTTGTGCATACACTCAAGAACTACTTGTCTCTAATCTTAAGACTATCAGAGGAGGAGAAGGTGATCATAAAGACCCTTATGTAAGTGGAAATATTAAACAATATTGGTATTGTATGCCATAATTATAAGGCTACTTTTTCCAGGTAGGAGCTGCAATAATGACAGAAACCAAGACATGTCATCATTCTCAGGTCATGTTGAACTCCTCAACTCACTACATCACCCGAGGTATCAAATAACAGTATTTATGCACCAAGATTCATGCATTCATAGACTGTCTTTGAGAGACACAGAAACCAAGTAAATCTGTGTAAGTAAATGTCTAATACCTATCAATGGGTGTAACGGCTATGTTTGTGAAAGTGATCTCAGAGGAAATCAAACTATACCCCTGCAGTGTAAATAACTCCAAGGAGCACTTTTACTATATGGTTTGCTCGTAAACACTCAAAAAGCAGGTAACCTATCACATTGAATACAAATATCCAGTATACACTCTGGTTCCCTTAGGTAGGGTTCCTTTCTTGTTTTTTTTGTTATGGGTTTTCCTTTTTTTTTTTTGAATGAACTATATTCTGAACAACATGGCATGTAAGGGAACCATCACAAATAGAAGCGTATTTGGTTTACACTCTTGTGTCATGAAGATGTTAGCATCATATGAAGAGCGGACATAGTACATTAAGGGGCTGAGGATATGATGACATTGGTAGAGAGCTCCCTAGCACAGAGGAAATCCTGACCTGAAACCCAGCTCAGTACAGCAGATGCTAAGGCGCACTCCTGTAAAGCCAGGTGGAGGCTTACTTGAGTCTCTTGAGACCTCCTTGCCTAGGAGAACTTACAGGAACCCTCATAGCCCACACAGGAATTCTTCAGAGTCATTGTGAAGAAAACATTAGATAACCAGCCTCTAATTTCTAGTTGACTTACAAACTTTTACCTCCGTTGTGTAGTTAGCCACATTACAATAATCTTCACTGACATGTTGTACCCCTTCAGTATTGGTTCACAACCAGAGACCAGTAATGAATTTTTGTAAGAGAAGTGACTGGTAGGGTATATTAGCACAAACCTGGATACCAGCACTTGGGAGGCTAAGGTAGAAGGATCTGGAAGCCCTGAAGATTACATACTGAGTTTCAACACAGCCTTGCTGTGTATTGAGAACCTGCAAAAATAGAGAGACAGACAGCCTGACATGCAGTCAGCCTGGCAAACAGAAAAGAAAGAAGGAAAAAAGAAAGGATGAAGTAAATTCAACTAATATAAACGATACTACACCTATTAATTAGAGTTTTCAGGCCCATTTCTGGTAAGAAGGATGACATAGTCTTGTTTTTGCAGATATACACTGATGTCTGCATTTCTCAAGTCATTTGAAAACTTTGAGATGTAGTTAATGAATGTCAACACTGATCATTGGTTGGAAAACACTCCTGCTGTATTAGTTATAGTTACTTTCTACTGTTGCGAAGACACCATGAGCAAGGCATCTCATGGAAAACCTACTGGAGACCTAAGTTTCAGAGGCTAATTAGAGTCTGTGACCACCATGGTGGGTGCATGGCTGCAGGAAAGCAGGCATGGTACTGTAACAGGTGTTGAGAGCTGATAACTTGGCACAGTAGGAAGAGGGGAGGGAGTGGGGGAGAGAGGGAGGGAGGGAGAGAGGCAGGGAGGGAGGGAGAGCGAGCACACTAACTGGTAATGGCATGGTGTGGGCACGTGAAAATTCAAAGCCCATACCTCCTCCAACAAGGCCACGGCTCTTAATTTTTCCAAAGCAGGTTTAGCTGCTGAGGATCAAGCATTTCAATATATGAGCCTATTGGGGCCATTCTTACTCAAACCACCACATACTTGTTCAGCTTGTGACTGCATATCTTCCCTTTCCAACTCATCTACAAGTGATGTATACAGGAAACCAAGATTCTGCTGTAAGTAACTGAATCACAGATGCTACCATTATGCCAATGAAAATAGATTATGAGACTCAGTTCCTCCTGACATCAAAACGAGGTTAATGAACTGTAGTGCTATAAAAAGACCTTCAGGAGAGGGCTCAGTGTCCTACAAATTGGCAAGGACAGTCTACCTCCCCATCCCACAGCAGCGCTCTCTCCATCCTCAAGGCCATTCACCCTATCAATAGTCCTCCCCTTTACAAAGACTGGACTTTGTAACAGTCTTGCTGTGAGAATGACCTCAAGGAGGAATCCTTGAACTACAGTTATTTATAATACAGGACCAACTGGGAATTTGTTTACTGCTTGATCAGACTGTCTCTTTGAGAGGCAAAACTGATCTTCATAACAGAAATATTTGCACATTCCTACACCTGAGTTTCATAGATGAGTTCTTTTCCCAGAACACACAAGACCCGAAAAGTTCCAAGACTGTCCAAAATTTCCTTGACACATGAATGCTGCTTAGCATGTTCTGACTGCCTTCATAAACATCTCTTCAGACTGCCTTCACAAGTACAAAACCCAATCGTTTAGAAAAAAAATGGGGAGATTATTGATGAGGTTGTTGGTGGTACATGATTTTAATCCCAGCACATGGACATCAGAGGGAGTCCAGTCTCTGGTCTGAGGATTGAAATCCAGGACAGCCATGCTACACAGCAAAACTCCATCTTAAAAACAAACAAACAAATGGACAAGCAAACAAGACTGATCGATTTATATGTTCCTGAGTACATGCTCTTAGGTGCCTATGCAGGCCAGAACAGGGAGATGAATGCTAACTAACTGAAATTGCAGATGTTGGAACACCCTCAATATGGATGTCCAAGTCCTCTCTGAAAGACAAGCTACTATCTGCAACTGTTAAGCTACCTCGCCCATCACACAAAGCCCACTCTGGTATCCCTGCACTTCCAACACGGCTTAGCACTTATTTTGGTCATATCCTTGCAGATGCATGCATTCCATAAAATAAAAGCATCATTAAGATTTATTTGGGGAAGAAGGTCTCACCATTTAAAAATTCCAAGAATGCTAAACAATGATGATGTGGCCTAGGCCCACGTGCAAGACACTGCTATACGTCATTCAAGGCCTTAGTAAAGTCTACATGTTTAACACAGAGCCCACGAAGCTGCATATCCAGCTGAGAATTGCTACAGTTGTGTTTGAGAAATAGACACAGAATCTACCGTGGGATTTTCTTCTCAGTGGCTAGGAGCCTTCCTTACCTGGGCTGCATTGTGAGAGAATACTGGGTGGGCACATGCTATGCTATTGCAATGCCTAGCATGGTAAGCAAACACTAAATGTACATACATTAGTGGTGACTTACAGATCCTTATTCAGCCTCAGGCCCACTCAAGAAAGAGGAAGTCAGACCTGGTACAGGAAACCTAAACAGCTACCCAGGGGTAGATACAGTATTGAAATCTGGAGAACCAGTAACTGCCACTTTACCAAGACAACATAATCCCTAACTACATTCCAAATTACATTCCAAATATTACCTTTATACAGTAGTCCCCATGCATCATCATGGATGACTTCTTTTAACAACAGACAGAGGTCATTAAAGAATAGCATAACTAACAAAAGTGCAGCATGGTGGAGGCCAGTTATAATGGACACAATGAACATAGTGGAATAGGGGACAGAAAGATTGTTAGAAGCAGAGATCATGGAGTTTGCTGTGAGACTTTATTTCCTAGGAATGTCAGGAGCTACACCCATGAAGTCCCTCCACCATGATGGCCTAATCATGAACTGAAGAACAACCACAACAGACATTGCAAAGTGGACAGGGATTCCCAGGACACCTCAATGCTACAAAATCAAAAACAAAACATAGAGGCAACTAATGCATCCTGATAGTGGGAGAAAGTGGCAATACAGTTGGTTATCCAATACCACATACTTTGCTTTGTGTGCTCATCGTGAAGTCCATCTGGAAATCAAGAAACTAGACACAGGCCATGGGGTTGGAGGAAGTTTGCATGAAAGAACAGGAAGTAGCAGAATACTGGTAAATGAAAGTAGAGAGCAGAAATGCTGGTGTCAGAAAGGTTCAAACAGTTTGTGGAGAGCTGGGAAAGGGAAAAGGAGGGACTGTGGGAAGGGTCAACCAAAGTGAAGTTTGAAGAAAGAAACTACATGAGAATCCATGAGCTTAGACCCCAAGTGAAATGCATAGTAAGAGGAGGTGGTGGAAGACATGGGATAGGAAAGAACGTGAGGGGCATGCTGGGGGAAACAAATTCAGGTGAGAATAGGGGAAAGGAGTGGACACAAGAAGTGAGGATGTGGACATGCAAAGAAAACTAAGGATGTGTGAAGAAGCTTTATGAAATGCGCCAGGTGGAAAACGAGGTCGTACATGCTATTTTTTAATGATTCATTTGTTCTACATGCACTGGTGTTTTGCCGGCACATATGTCTGTATGAAAGTGTTACATGCCCTAGAACTTGAATTACAGACATGTGGGAGCTGCCATGTGGTGCTGGGACTTAAAACCAGGTATCCTTGAAGAGCAGATAGTATTCTTAATGACTCAGTCACCTCTCAAGATGAGATACATGCTATTTTAAACAAAAATACTGCTAAAGGTTATTCCCAAATTATAGGTCATTAAGTAAAAATCTCAGCATTGTACACAGGTTATCCCCCTATTCCGCTGGTCCCAGAGGTAACTAAATAATAAAGTTGATTTGTCACTGTTCTTGGTTGTCCAAGAGAACAAGTTGGCAGGACCCTGAACCTGAGTCAGTATACATTGTTATTACAGGTCATTGGAAAATCAGTCTTAAACTCACCAGGAACCACTCCCAGCCTACTAATCTTCATAGTATCTAGAAGGTATTATGTTGGCTGTTGTGAGACAAATGTCATCAATGATCTTACCCATGGCTGGGCCCTGCATGCTATAATACTGGCCTGCCAGGCATGATGAACCCACTTCTCTAATAGTTACAGTTCTGTTCCTTGGGCTAACTATTTGTTCTCCTCATTGGATCTGAGGCCTGCTCCACAAGAGTGAGTGTATGCCTGGTCCTGTAAACATAGTCACAACCTATTATTAGTGAGTGCATAGTTCCTTGGAACTGCAGGGGGAGGACTTATTCTAGTTCTGTTTAATGATCATGTTCTTAAACTGCCTTCCATATATTTATGTCTGCACTGCTCTCAACACTGGTTTGAGGAACTTGTAGCTGCAATGAGTAGTGGTCAATGTAGAAACACACTAAAGCCAGTATAATTCCCTGGAATGTGCTGTTGTAGCTGAACGTCTAGTGTAGGAACTATTGGCAGTTGATGGCTGCTAGAGAAGTAAGAGTCACTTCTCTCTGGGGAGATGGACCCTGGCCATCAGTGCACTTGAGAAGAACTAGCTGGACACAGTGGGTTAAATAGGTACATACTTATGCAATCAAAAGGAGGATATGAAGTCTACACAGATATTTGTTGGGAGAGTCCAGGGTAGAGTTGCAGGGAGAGATTTCAGGTGAAGATGATCAAGAAATAGTGTATCCATGCATGAAATGTCAAAATATACAAAAGAGTATTACAAAGAGATTCTCATCTCAGGTGGTTCCATGTTTTTTCAGGCTGACCGTTAAAATAAGCAGCAGAGACCACAAACTGCTAACACAAGAAAGAAATATAACAGGTTACCAAACATTCTAGCAGACAGCTTAACTTACCCTTGTAGGTTCTTCTGGAAGAAAGCAAGAAGAGCTTTGCAGCTAATGGTATGCCTCCCTGTTCATCAAGTTTATTTCTGTCCTAACCATATAAAGTGGGGTTCCATTCTTCCCCCTTGCAAGATGGGGGAATTCCTGGAAACCCAATCCTCCTGACTGTGCTCAGGAAAGCCTCTCTATTGGACCTGTCTGCGTTGTGTTGTGGTGCACAGTAAAGCCATCTTATGACAACACTCAAAACGCTACTGTGTCTCAAAACCATTGCAGCCAAGGAGGAGACTTTCGTGAGGGCGTCTGGGAAGCTTCTCTTGCCACTGTGGAAATGAAAATGAATGTCGCAGAGTGGCAATGAGTTAAATGGAGAAGCTGTGTGACTGTGGTTCCTACCTCTATAGCATGAGAGTCCTGGAAGGCCTGGTCCTTCTTATTCCTCTTCGAATGAGGAGCATGGTGATTGTCTTCCTCATTGTCATCTCGTGGCCTTTTCCTGAAAATAGTTTTTAAGGAGAGAGGAAAATCTGTCATCATTCAGCAATTGACTTTTGGATGCTTAACGTTCAGCCCTGTGCAAATACCCAAATCTGCAGCCTTGTCTAAGAATGAACCAGTCAGAACTGCTCTGCTGGGTTCACACACTCTGCAGGCAGATGACACTGGGCAGTGGAGGAAAGCATACCCAAGCTCAAGTTCAAGTTTCCCAAGCCAGAATCTTCATTTGAACCACTGTTTGGGACCAAACACATGAAGAAACTTATGGTCAAACATTAAAACTCTACCTGAGGCCCATTGTCTTCACCCAGTGAAATAATCACTCCAGGTTATATGATTTTACACCCTGTCACAGGGCACCTCCCAAGATACATGGGGTTTTTCTAGTGTATCTGTTCTTGTGTCCCTTTAACCAGTGGCTACAAACAGATGCCCCATGAGTACTGTTAGAAATTATTATGTTACTGTAGCTAGTTACTTGACTGCCACCATGACACTCTGCTTATTGCTTCCCGGAAATTTGTCTAAAGTGTTTCAATGAAAGTAGATTTAATGATGCATGCCTATATTCCCAGCCCCACGGATGCAGGGACATAAAGAGATCTAGTTCTATTGCTACTTGTGCTGCATTATGAGTTCCAAACCAGCTTGAGCTTTTATATAGTAATACACTGTTTCCAAAGGGGGAAAAAAACCTACCTACCATACCATTTAATTACAAATTTTGTTGTGGTATTTGCCATTATAATCCCTATCTTTGTTTTCTTTTATTGGACATGGTTTCATGCTGTAACCCAATCTGTCATCAATCCCACTATTGTGGTTTGGCTGGCCTTGAACTTGCTGTAATTACCTTGATTCAGCTTCAAGACTGCTAGGATTCTTTCCTGATCTTGAAATTCTTGCAGAAATCATATAATTGATTTAGACACATATTCTTCATAACCACTTAATTAGAAACTAGTTTTAATGGTTTGGCATTCCTTAGTATTGTTAATTCTACTGATGCCCATTCTCAATCTTACGTTCACCTCTAAGAGACTGGAAGTGCTATTAGACTCTTTTTAAAACACCTTCCCCAGGGCCCCTTTCCTACTTCCATGAGCAATGAGCAATAGAAAAACGAGGACTACTGAGAACATGGGATGTCTAAGCATATCCCTCCCTGGATCTACTTTCCTGTGTCAAGTGCTAACCTCTCAAAATTGGGGAAACAGTCCAGAGATATGACGTGACTAAATAATAAGTAAGAATGGCAAAAGTGGCTGGTGGAAGTTCTCTCGAGTACTGATCACCGTCTTCTACAGGAAGGGAAAATCAGTGCATAATTGGATAGCTGTTCAAACAGCTCAAAGGGAAAATTAGTTTATAACTGGATAGCTATTCAGTTTCTTTACAACAAATAATTTGACAGTATAGTTAAAGTTATATTATTTGTATACAGTTTACGAAGAAAATTCTCAGTATCAAATACAAGATTTTTTTCTAGGTATGTCAGGAATGCCAAAGCAACATCAAAACTAGTAGCTGGCCTTAGAGAATGAGGAATATTTCAATATGACTAACTTTCCTTCAAACACATTGTTTCCTTTCAAAATGGGGAGGGGTTGTTAGTCTTGTTTTTCAAGACAGGGTTTCTCTGTATAGCTTTGGAGTCTATCCTGGTGCTCTGTAGACCAGGCTGTCCTCGAACAAATAGTGTTCTTAATTACAAGAGTACTTCGGTAGTTTGACCGCTAAATTTGTATTTCCAAATTCTATACTATTCTGAATACCCCCTACCTCATACATGATCAAAATAAAAAATTCAATGTGACAATTTAAGCTGACTCCAGATTTTTAATACCTTATCAGTTAACCTTTAGATACTTCCCCAAGTCTTAGTTGCTATGAATTACCTATGATCCTGGACAGTGTCCGTGAAGAAAGATAGGAAATACAGTGAGAGCCAATCAAAACAACACATGGAGCAACAGTAACAGGTTCACCATACTACCCAAAGAAATTCTGTGATACATAGCATTTAGTTAAACCTCACAGAATGAGGGAAAGTATTTTGAATCTGGAAAGACCAGGGCTCTGTTTATTCCAGCTAGCTAAATGGTTTCCCCTTCTGTCAACTAACCAGACTAAAACTAATAAAACTGATTTCAAAACAAAATAGTAAATACAAAACATTATGTAGAAAACTCTTAGAACACAATGCATGGGAACACTGATATATATATACACATGATGAAAAATGCAACCATTTTATTTCACAACACTCACTGAGCACTGACTACAGTAAAGATATTCCTCCAGGTGCTGGGTTATGATTAAGCATAAATAAATCTCAGCTCCTACCTCTGAAGACTGCACGCTGATGGCTGACCTTGAACCATAAGTATTTTTACCTCCCTTTTTTTTTTTTCGAGGCAGGGTTTCTCTGTATTGTTTTGGAGGCTGTCCTGGAACTCGCTCGGTAGACCAGGGTGGCCTCGAACTCACAGAGATCCGCCTGCCTCTGCCTCCCGAGTGCTGGGATTAAAGGCGTGCGCCACCAACGCCCGGCTACTGACCTCCCGTTTTACTGAAGCTTTCAGTACTTTACATTTTAGTTTTTAAGCAAAAATGTATATAGTGTAAAAAATGTTATTTTTCATAAATCTAAAACTGAGCTCTAAAGCAGTATGTTTAAGTTGTGATTAAACACAAGCCCCATTTTATTTTAATATACCTCATGAATGAAAGTATTCAGAAAGATTATACCTGTTCATTAAGAAAGCTTAATCTTTCAGCAATGGGACTGTATTTAAGATTAGCTTTCTGTATTTTATAATATCAGCCTTCTGAATTTTCTACAGTGAGAAAGAATAGTTACTATAAAGGGGAATATGTTGAAAAAGACTGTAAAATGCAGGACACTAATGGGTCCAAGAAATCAAAAAGATCTTCCAGAAAAGCAGAAATGCCAAGTTGCTAAGGTACGTAGGCAATCCCATGGGACAAATAAATGTGTCTCTAAATATTGACTTTTTGTCCAAGTGGCAGCAGCCCCACCACAGGCACCTGTGTGGCACTGATACCACAAGAAAGAGTTTCTCCAGCAAAAGGCTCTGCATGGCCTTTTCCAAGGTGATGGGCAGGGCAAATGGTGGAGCAGCTGCAGCAGGGTGCATCACTGGCATCTGTAAATCAGGGGAAAATCCATCTTCCCAGCTACTTTTCTGTGGAAACCTCAGAGATTTGGCTGAGGAAGCCAAGTAGGATGAAAGGGAAGATAATGAATGAACTGATACCAACAAAGACTCGAGCACAGAAACATTAGCCCTGCCTTTGGATACATGGCAACAGCAACAGGCAGTGCATATGCCACAGGAAACATGACAGGAGAGGAAGTCTACCCTGAGACTGGCAAGCTCTAGGATTGTATAGGAACCCTGAACCCAGAGCGGTCACCTCCAGTCTCCAGCCTGGGGTTTGCATAAACAACCCTTCTAAAACTGTTGTGAATTGCAGGCTAAGAATTTAGAGCACTGATAGAAGAACCACACTGACTAATTATTCCCGCTGTGCCAGAATTGAGACACGTGTCAATTCCTTGGACATACTCCTTCCACTCTGGTGCTTGTACTGTCTTCTTTGCAATCCTCAACCTTTAAAAGTAACTGCCCATCTTGGTGTTCACAACACTGAGAAGGTCATCAGTGGTCTTCTCCCAGGAACATTCTCATTTTCTCCTGCTAAGTCTCCCTGCCTGTGGTTATGTCCTGGGCAGCAGGAAAGACTATGCCTTTCCATAGTGTCATTTTCTTTCACCCTCTCTCATCGGCAGCAGTACCATCTCCTGACCTTCCAACTCCTTAATGGTTCCACATCATATCCTCAGCCTTCAGCCTCCTATAAGCCCCCACTCTACTGAACACAGTGTCTTACCATACACCAGACCTGTATCTATGAACGACCCTCAAAACCATTTGTGCAGCTCCTTTTCTCCCCCTCCCTAATTTGTAAATGCTCCAATACCAGACAATGTCTACGTTCTCAATCATTGGCTTGGAGTAGCCTTCCAAGAGCATCAACATCAACAATTCTCATGACACTCACTAATCATTCCTTGAATAGGGGCTGGCTAAATGGTTCAGTTGGTAAAGTGTTTGCCCCAATAAGCATGAGGACCTGGGTTTGTATCCATAGCACCCAGTAAGCATACTTTGTAACCCCACTGCTAGGATACCAGAGAGGGTAATAGGGAAGACAAACAAATTCCTGGAACTCACTGCCCAGCCAGTTTACCCAGATGTTCAGCTCCAGATGTTCTCTTATTGAGACACCATATCTCAAAAACAATAAATAAATAAATAGATAAATAAATAAAAAAGATAGAGAACAAGTAGGAGGCAATAGATCTCAAGGTCAATGCGTGCCTGGGCTACAGAATTCAAGTTCAGCCTGGCCAGCCTAGTGAGACCCTGAACAGCAGGAACAGAAGGAAGATAGCATCTGAAAAGCAGAAAAAAGCTGTCTGAAAGGGCATTAACTTGATTGTTACAGGGGATTCAGGTGACCCAATTTCTGTCACTGTGACAACTGAACCCAGAAACAGTTGTGAAGGGAGCAGGAGAATTGTGAAGCAGAAATGAAGTGTGTGACCTAGGAAGATTTGCCTGTGACCTTCACCTTGAAGGAGTGGGTTTTGCAGGGTTTCCCCCACATAAGATCCATGGATATGTGATGCAGGAAATGTTCAGGAACCTTAGGATAACAGAAAGACCAGAACTTTGAAGATGACTACAGAAATTCCAGGAGAAATCTAAGAGAGGCTTTGAATGCAATAAAGATAATCAATGTGGCAAAAAATTCAGCTGGATTTTAGAGCCGATTGTGAACACAAACCTTATAAAGTAAAATCAAATGAAAGGCAGGTATGTGGAGAGGAGATATCCTTGATGTGCATTTATCCCTAAATGTTTACACCACATCTCAGAAAGGAAACAAACCAGTATTAGGAAGAGA